CCAGCGGTTTTTGTTTCCGCAGCGGAGTTCCATCAGAGCAGCGTGGAGCCCGTTCACCAGTAAAACCCCGTCTCACGGCTCAGTCCCGCCCCGCGTCTCCGGAGCGTTTTAACAGTTTGAACGCCTCGTTTTAAGGAGGAACAAATCTTTATTTCTGACCGAGGCTCAGGGGAGGAAAATGAACACCGATCACTAATCAGAGTTTTGTTCCGTCAGCTTCTGTTTAACCGTCGCACACAGTCGAATCACTGTCAGGGCTTTAACCTGCTGTTAATGAAAAGAGGCTCCATTTATCTTCCAATTTCCACCAAGCTCACCTTTAAAAGTTGGACTCAAACATTTCCGCTGACCTTACCGAGACTTTTTTTTGGCACTGAAAAGTTTTTCTTTAGAGTTCAGATGATGATTAAACTTCAGGCCTGCGTTTATCAAACTACTCAGAGTTCACCTCAAAATGCTCTTAGAGGTGTAAAAACATTTAGAGCAGCTGTTTTTGGATTCTTTAAAATCACTTAATTTTACCCAAATACTAAATAAAATTCAGTGTAATATAGTTATAATGGATAATTATATCAACAGGAGGAAATACATGGAAAAATACAAACCCAGTCAATGTTTTTTTAATGCATTAGTATGTTCATCACGATGACTCTGCTTTGAGACCTTATATAAATGGCTGATGGCGCACAGCGGGCCTGTTCTGCATGATTCAAAGTTCATAATAATCGGTATTCATCTGGCACTGGGCCTCAGTTCAGCTCCAGTATCTGAAATGAGCTGTCTTTGCCCCGCCCACTTTAAGTTTCTTCTGATTGGCTGCCCATCGTGAATGGCAGGTGGGTGGGGCATCTCTGCCACAGATGACCATATTAGGGATATCCTCTCTTTGTAACATTATACAGATTATCCATTTCTCAAAGTGGTTTGATAAATTCAGCAATGATGATTCTGATTGGATGATTTCATGATTTCAGCTTCAAATATTTTTTAAGGTGTGATGCGTAAAAACTACACAGGCCACTGAGTCCGCTTCCATCATGATAAACACAAACCTGAGTCGGCTGTCTGAGCAAAGCTACTTCTTGTCAGGTTGGACGTCACAGTCAGAGGCTGGAGCGGTCACGCTCAGAACAAAGCTAACGTCGCAGCTGTTACATCTTTACGTTGTGCTGTTAACTTTTATTAGTATTTCTAAACTGACAGTTTTACAAACGGCACCTTTTAAAGGTGCTTTTTGTAATGACCCTCTGCTACATGTAACTAAACTTCACCAGCAGGGGGCAGTGTTTTACTGGCAGTTGTGTTGAGATCTTTTCAGACGTGTGCTTCTGTTTGTTGTTGTTTTTTGTTTTTTTTTAAACCACCGTGTCCACTTGACTCCCGCAGGCCTTCGTTGTAAATACGTTGTTCTTAATGACTTGCCTGGTTAAATAAAGGTTACGCTTACTTACTTCTGCATAAAAGTGGCATTACAGGAAAGTGCAGCCCCAGTTCACCTTGAACTGAAACTCTTTAATGGACAAAGTCACAGCTTTGGTTAAATCAAAAAAGTTTGAAACTATTTTTAAATACAGGAATTTACAAAAAGTTCCTACCTGGCAGTAGAAACGGAAGGAAAGACAAAAAGATTTCATGTTTTTAAAATAAAGTTTCCTGTTGGTTCTTCTTTTTATGAACAGAGTTTTCGACGTTCAAGAAAGATTCGATTTTTCTGCTTTAAACACATCACAGAATAATCAGTGTCCAGTGATGCTCTTGAACAGCACAGACGCCGATACGTCAGACGGGAAATGCCTGAGACATTTTTTATTTTTAAATGAACTGTCAAAGAATCCAAAATATCTGAGGTGAAGATAATAAAGATGCAAACTGGGAGGTTGTCACATGCGAGCAGATGGTTTATTTAGTCTTTTTTAAAATCCTTTTTGAAGCTGATATTACTGTTATTGTTGTTCCTGAGCTTCAAAAAAAGGCTTAGCTTCCTGCTGGAGAACCTCTGTTCCCTAAAAGCTCCAAAGTGGCATCATTAATACTTCACTCATGGCCGAAGCTCACCGCCAGCTCTCTTGGTAAATATTCTTTCAGGTACTTTCCGTGCTTGTTCAGGTGTTGCGGGACGGTTTGTCTCATTATCATGTTGTGTTGGATTTAAAGTGGGTTTTGGAAAATCCCCTCCATGCTGAACTGCAGTGATCTGAGTTTATATTAATTTTCAGTCCCGTGTGTCAGTAAAAGCTTCTGCTGACCCTCCACTCACCTGTTTAGCATTAAAGGCAGGTTAAAATGTGCTTTTTACGCCTCTAGTCTGAAATCATTCCACTGAACGCGATGTGCTGAGTGTCGGCCGCCGAAGCTGTTTAAACTGTTCAAACTGGATGTGACTGCGGCTCCTTCCATTTCTCTGTTGTACTGTTACCGTAGTACTGGTGTAACATAAATGTTTTCTAAGTTATTAAAACCGACATCCCGGCATCTCCTCGAAAACCGTCTCCGTGTCTCATTATCATTCCTTCACCTGGATCTGTTCCTCTTTCCGTGTTTTCCTGTTTGTGTTCATTCCAGTGAAAACAGCCACACTGAACTCCTCACAGTCAGCTTGTTTGGTGTATTTTAATCAAGCCAGGAAAACTTTTACTCTGAATATTTCATGAGTTTCAAAGTCCAAATTTTTTGCTTTTTATTTCACTTTATTTTTCCAGTATTTTGAGATCCGGGGCTGGAAAACACTTTAAGGCAACTGAATGCAAGACGGTCATGGCGAGCCTGGTAGCAAATGGATTTAAAGGGGAAAAAAGAGGTTCATTATTGATCAGCAGATCAAACCACATGGTATTGAAAATGTACTTTTAACATTTTTACAGTGAGATATTAGAAAGGGATCACACGTCACGAGTACTGATGCTTGTTTCTGTTATTATGGGTCATTAAATGAAAGCAGGTGTTGCTGTGATATATCACATGACACAAAAACGGGGTTTTATTTCTAAACTTCATTTGGTTTTGAACAGCTGAAACTGAAAACATCACGTGAAGATTTCACAGTAAATCCTACATAAACACTGCTGATCAGTTATTTTAAACTTCTTTTACACGATAATTTCTTTTTTTTGTAGAGATACATATATAGAGTTTAAATGTAGTTTGAGGAGACATGCAGTACTCGGCAAACTGGCTTTTGTGATGATCAGTGAGTTTGATGTGAGGCTGTGGGATTTTTATGAAGCACAACTTTAGTGCAGTGCCTCCATCAAACCACACAAAGGGAACGTTTTTAAAAGTAAACTTTATTTAAACGACCATCAGACACTGCAAGAGTTGAACATAAGACAGAAACAAAGCTTCTTACAGGCCTGATTACATCAGACTGAACAGCACTGAAACAGATCGACTGTAATCAAAGATGGACAGAACCCCGTTTGTGGAGGTGAGAAACAGGATATCAGACATGCAACTGAATTTCATTGTCTTGAAACCAGAATAATCGAGCCGTTCATCTACTCAAAGCTCTCCTTTTATCCTGTTATAAATTGAACACACCCCTTTCCTTTAAAGTGGTATGCTCCATAAAAGCTTACACTAACTTAACAGCTCATTCCCTGCCAAATGACCCTGTGCCCCCTTCACCTCCTTTTCATTTCACTTGGGTTCATCTGGATTCGATTTAAAGTTGAAAGCAAAAAACTGTAAAAGTACACAAGACGATCTCGATCTGCAGAAGTGCACGTTTGTTGATAACTAATCATCTTGTAGGACAATCAGACACTACACGATGACTGTAGGCCAGAAGGAGTAATATAAATAGAAGTAATAGAAAGTTTGACTATATGGACTACACCCAGAGTAAATGGTGTAGAAAGACCAGGGTCAAAGTTTACCAAAGGAGCCCAGATCTTCGATCATGTTCAAAAATTGAGATTAAAGGCTAAAATAATTGTGATTCTGACTTCTGCAGTAATCAGAAAACCTACTGCACACCTGAACACCGTGTTTATTCTGCTTTTTCCCCCTAATACTGGCCGTAAACCACAAAACAAACAAATAACTGGCATCATGAACTCAAGCAGGGCTGCATTCTCACAGGAGAGTGGCTGCCCTCTGCTGGCCATTAGAAAGAATGCAGCTGCCCCCTCACTCAGTGGTCTCAGTGGGTTTGTGAGCACACAGCTCATCCACAGGTCTACACACATCAAGTCAAAGATGGGCAAAGTGGTAATTTTAGTGTTACCGAGTGATCTACACTCACTGAGCACTTTAATAAGAAACCCTAAAAATACTGAGCTGAGACCTTCCTCTCCAATAACTAGGGAGGCGTTATAATGAAGTGCGAAGCGAGCACTGAGATTAAATTGAATCTATAATAAAACACGATAAAAAAAAAAAAATCACTATTATATTCAACTAAGATTAAAGTGACTCTGGGACAGTTTTACAAAGAGACGACAGCAGGCGGCACAAACCCGCCGCAGGTAGATAATCTCATGCAGGTCTGAACATGTCTGCTGTCCGGATATTTTACAGACTGCTGATACAAATAATGAAGTGGCAGATTTTAAAAATCTTTGGCATGTTTCTGCCATGAATAACAAACACAGAGTCCTGTGCGAGGATGACACGTAAACAGTATTAGCTTCATAACGAGCGAGAGCACGCGACCAGAGTTCACCTCGGTCGTCAGGAATGAACGCGTGAAAATTCAAGATAAAACACATTAAACTGTCTAATAAAAACTGACATAGAGAAGCTGCTGACAGAAAGTTAAATCTGGGGGGAAAAAGAAAACGTAAAAGTGTAAACAAATTTTTACAATCAAACTCTGACGTTTTCAGGATATTCCATAGACTGTATAAGGAAGATGGCAGCAGCCACAGCCATGTGATCCATTGGTTTGCCGTGTCCGGTTTCTGAAGCCTCGAGTTGAAACTTTTTGAAGTGTATTTGGACTTTTTAAAAACACTTTTGGTCTCTGTTAGATTCCAAAAATTCCCTCCTGTGGTTTTTTCATGAAGGAGGCAAAAGAAGGAAAGATGTGGAGAATTCATGAGGATTCAAAGGAATTAGATTTTTCTCTGCTGCCTGTTTCAAGGACTACAACATCCTTAAAATGGACTACAAAAATTTAGGCTGTGTAGATGAGATCATGCTGCTGAGAAATATCATTTCGTTAGCTGCATCCATCTTTTACTTACAGTCTATGGATACACCCAGCGTAGGTGCTCTGTGAGACATTTCC